TCGGATGAGGCGGAGGAGGAGGAGCCGAAAGAAGTAAAAGGGTTTAAACAAAAAGCAGCGGAAAGTCAGTTTGGGGTGTATGCGCAGCCAGAAACATCAGCAGGTATTTCGAGCTACTAAACCCTAAACCCTAAACCCTAAAACCCTAAACCCTAAACCCGAAACCGCGCTGGCAAGGGTTTTGAATAGTGGTGCTTCCCCCTCAAGGGTTTAGCGTTTAGGTTCCTGAGTATAGGATTCAGGGTCTTGGGTTTAGGGTTTAACAGTTATTGCTTAGGGTTTAGGGTTTAAGGGTTATGGTTTAGGGTTTAGGGTTTAGGGTTTAGGGTTTAGGGTTTAGGGTTTTGCGAGTAATTGCAGACGCCTATTATTCCCTTCTTGGAGTCTCCCCAGATGCATCAACAGCAGAAATTCGAAAGGCGTATTATTCTTTGTGCAAACGCCTGCACCCGGACAAGTAAACAAGGGTTTAGGGTTTAGGGTTTAGGGTTTAGGGTTTAGGGTTTAGGGTTTGTGCTCTGATGTTGTTCACCTACACCCTTGCGAAGTTTGACGGTTTCACCATTCTGGCTTCAACAGGCAATGCACCACTCCATATTTAGGGTTTAGGGTTTAGGGTTTAGGGTTTAGGGTTTAGGGTTTGCAGGGGTGCTGCTGGCGTGGAGGAGTTGCACAAAGTTCAAGAAGCATTTTCGGTGTTGTCTGATCAAACTCGGAGGCTTTTATTTGAAATTAAAACAAAAACAAAAACAAAAGAAGAAAGAGAAGAAAAGGTAGGCCTAGGGTTTAGGGTTTAGGGTTTAGGGTTTAGGGTTTAAAGTTTAGGGTACTAGGGCTTTTGGTTTTGTAATCGAGGGTTTAGGGTTTAGGGTTTAGGGTCTAGAAGGGGGCATGCGTTATTCTTTCGTTTCTCTTTCTTTTTCGTTTGAGTACTAAACCCTAAACCCTAAACCCTCGACAACAGTATGAGCCTCCAGCAGCAGTTTCCCAGCAGGTTTAGGGTTTAGGGTTTACGGATTAGGGTTTAGGGTTTAGGGTTTAGGGTTTTGCATATCGCTGCAGCTCAATCAGTTGGAGAAGCTCCAAAGACTGCGCAGCGTGCGAGATATTCAGAACATGGTTGGCCTAAACCCTAAACCCTAAATCCTAAACCCTAAACCCTGATGGTCACCCCTTCACAAACCCTAAACCCTAAACGCCACCCCAGTCTGCCGCCAAACTAACAAACCCTAAACCCTAAACCATGATCGCCAATCTGTTAGTTGTTTGAACTCCTTCTAGAACGTTAGGGTTTAGGGGTTAGGGTTTAGGGTTTAGGGTTTGAGGTTGCTGCTGCAGCAAATCGAATATGCAAACAAACTGAAGCGAGAAAAGTCGGCAAATGGTAAACCCTAAACCCTAAACCCTCAAAACCCTTAGCATTACATCGAGCTCTCGTCTACTAAACCCTAAACCCTAAACCCTCAAAGTCGTCAGCACGAAATCTACCCCTCATATCCTAAACCCTAAACCCTAAACCCTAAACCCTTGTGTTTTAGGTTTGATAATTTTAACTGCACTCTACGGAAACCTACGTCTGCGCCCTGCTCACCTGATGAAGGAAAACATCGGTAAACCCTAAACCCTAAACCCTAAACCCTAATCTCTAGACCCCTAATGCACTGCCTTTAGGCGGGCAGAAAATAGTCGAAATACAGCAAAAAGTTAGGACTAGGGTTTAGGGTTTAGTGTTTATGGTTTAGGGTTTAGTGTTTAGGGTTCAGGGTTTAGGGTCTAGGGTTTAGGGTTCAGGGTTTAGGGTTTAGGGTTTAGGGTTTAGGGTTCAGGGTTTAGGGTTTAGGGTTTAGGGTTTTGTTGGCAGGAGTTATTGAGGAACAGCACCTGGAAGGCCCCTACATCGACGTGGCTATTCCTTTGCAAGTATTTCAAAACCCTAAACCCTAAACCCTAAAATCCTAAACCCTAAACCCCTGAACCGTTAAACCCTTCATTCTTAAGCGGTGATCAGCAGACCCAAGCCGTAAACCCTAAACCCTCAGAAGCGAGTTTGCAGCGTGCTGTTTAAGCCTAAGCCTAAGCCTAAAGTAGGGTTTAGGGTTTAGGGTTTAGGGTTTTCGTTTGGGGTGTACGTACACCTCAGTGCCAAATCGATGATTCGCGTTTTGTCTTCGCTGGCGGCGCGTCGTCCTCCTTTGAACAGCTTCCGGGGTTTTATAACCCAGCTCCTCTGGTGAGGGTTTAGGGTTTAGGGTTTAGGGTTTAGGGTTTAGGGTTTTGCTGGCAGAGGAGCTTCAGCCGAGAGGTAGTAAAGGTTCAGGGTTGTTTTGCAATTAGGGCTCCGCGTCAGGGTTTAGGGTTTAAGATTTAGGGGTTGTGGTTTAGGGTTTAGAGGTTGTGGTTTAGGGTTTAGGGTTTGTTATGTTGTTGCGCAGATGAGCGGCGGCGACATTTCTCTTTATGTCCTTTATACCTTCCGGGTATAATTAGGGTTTAGGGTTTAGGGTTTAGGGTTTGTGCAGTATCTTTGAATCCCGTCCCTTGATTTTATAATTATCTTTCTCAGGGTTTAGGGTTTAGGGTTTAGGTTTTTATTTCTTTCTTAGTGCATTTTCGCTGTCTTTCTTCGCTGATTTCCAAGCACCTCAGCGGCTAGGGTTTAGGGTTTAGGGTTTAGGGTTTAGGGTTTAGGGTTTGGGGTTTGCAGGGCCAAGTGCATGAGGTGACGGTTTCGGATTGTTCGCGTTTGGCGCTTCCCTTGCGGTGTACGTACACCTGAATATCTGCATTCAAAAAAAAGTTTTGTGTATTATTTTTACATATTTTCTTCCTTTTTTTAACTTAATTTATTTTATTTTAATTAATATTTCAATTAAAAAAGGAGAAACACAGAAAAAAAGATATTAAAAATATGCTTTTGCGGTGTATATGCAGCTCATCGCTGTTTAGGCGGAAATCCTCGGGGGCCTTTCTCTGCATCCAATGCAGCATCTGTTATTAAAGAAAGGTAATTAAAATATTTTAATTATTTAATTTAATTTAATTTAATTTTTTAAATAAGATAATGCGTATAATAATATGTAACAGTAATAATATTATATTAGTAATATTAATCTGTTATTAAAGAGATGCAATTAATATATTTTAATTATTTAATTAGTTTAGGGTTTTAGGGTTTAGGGTTTTAGGGTTTAGGGTTGATGATATATTGATGATAATAAAATTAATAACAATAATAGTAATAATATTAATATAATAATAATAATATTAATATAATAATAATAATATTAATATTAATAATAATAATAATAATAAATAATAGCCTTAATAATAATAATACTAGTACTAGTAATAATAATAATTATTATTATTATTAATTTATTTATTAATAACTAAATATATTTATTTAGATGTTTTTTTATGTTTTTTTCTGTTGCTGCTGCTTCCTCTGCTGCTCGCTGCTGCTGCGGTGTACGTACACCTGAATTTAGTTTATAAAAAAACAAATAATAAAATATATGCAGCATAAACAAAATACAAAATAAACAGCAAATAATGTCTGTGCTGCTGCAGCGATAATCTACGCTCCTTCTCCTCCTTGCCTAGCCTTCTAGGCCTCGGTACTAAACCCTAAACCCTAAACCCTAAACCCTAAACTCCTCAGTTTAAACTCCTTCAGCCAGAATATTCCACCATTAAACCCTCAAACAATCGATCTGCAAACCCTAAACCCTAAACCCCTCAATTCGAAAACCCCTAAACCCTCAAACAATCAAGCTGCAAACCCTAAACCCTAAACCCTAAACCCTACAGTGGGCGACTCTGCTCTCCAGATTTCTATTAATAGCTTTCTAATTTAGGGTTTAGGGTTTAGGGTTTGTGTTTGCTTTTGAAGGCGTTTGCTGTACGGCCGCTCTCCTCTACCTCTTGCCGCTGCAGCAGCTGCAGCAACAGCTGCAGCAGCAGCTGCAGCAGCAGCAACGCGTCTTCGGCGCTGCTGCTTCTGCTGCAGTGTCATCTGTTGCTGCTGTTTTCTCGCGGGTTATCTCACGCCACAAGTACGCTGCTGTTGCTGCTGCTGCTGTTGCTGCTGCTGTTGCTGCTGCTGCTGTTGCTGCTGCTGTTGCTGCTGCT